CCCCGCCGCCCCCTCTGCCCGGGGGCCTCCCGGGCCCGCCGGGCTGCGGTCCCCGCCACTGCGCTGCTGACTGCTGACTTTCCCAGGCCGCCCCATGCAGCACCTGCTGTTTTCTCTACACCCGTGTCTGCACCACACCGTTCCCCGGGGTTTCAGGAACGGTCCCTTGACACTGCTGACTTTGGCTCCTCCATCCATTTCCCTGGCTCTTTCACTTCACCCCTCTACTCCCTCCCGGATCCGACACTCCCCCTACGCTTTCCGGAGTTCCAACTACCTCCCAACTTCTACTTCCAGGTCAGTGTCCCCACCCTCTGAGCCCTTCCCTCCCACCCGGTCTCAGGCTGCCTTCCACACAACTCTAGCTGTCAGGCTGTCTGGAGCCATGACTGCTGCCAAGCCTCAACCAGAACAGGATCTAGGAGACTACTGTACCCCCGTATCTGAGCCCCCACAGTGAGTTCTGAACCCTTAAGATGCAAGATAGGGAGTGATGGACACGGAAAGGAAAAAACGGAGGAGTGGGAGGGTAATTCAAAAGGATGTATGAAGAAGCCTTATAAAATTCCACTGTCTTGGGGGCTGGAGAGAAGGCTCAGTGGTTAAGAGCACTGACTATTCTTCCAGAGGTCCTGAGTTCAATTCCAGGCAACCACATGGTGGCTCACAGCCACCTTGAATGAGATCTAGTGCCGTCTGCTGGAATGTAGGCAGAATACTGTATACGTAATAAATAAATAATTTAAAAAATCCCACTGTCTTACAAATTAATAGGAAATACTGATTTTAAAACTTTGAACTGAGATCCCGTGATGCTGCTGCCAGACGCCAGTGCTTTAAATGGACCTCTCTGTACCAGCTAATGGGTAACTGCCTAGGAGGCCCCAGAGGCACCCCAAGCAAAGCATGCCAATGCATGTGCTCTTGCTTGAACATTTTGTTGTTGAAGACGCTATACCCATTTGGTTGCAAGATAAGAGAGAGTGCATTCTTGAACTTATCAGGGAACTCTCCCAGCTGCCAGGCCTTTGCATCACTGAGAAGTCTTGTGAGGGCTGCTATGAGAGAAAAGATATCAATGGTCTAACCTGCCCCTGGGCCCGGCATCCTACATTACCAACCTACAAGCCAGAATGTGTACACTGGGGCAATACTGGCACAGCTGCTTCTGGGCATAACCAACCTCTCACTTGACTGCTGTACTATAACATGCTTAAAAAATGGCTTGGAGAATATATTCATGTTTTGTTAACTATAAAGCTGTTAATGTGCAATCTAAATATTCATATCTGTAATTATCAATTTTTAATACTCACTCTTAAAAGAAGCCACCTTTGAAATTGGTAGTGGGTAATGAGCAGACTCTAACTGTTCAAAAGGCACTAAGAACAGTCAACGGTGTAAGATTGGGACAATTACCATTTCACCATGGCTTGGTTGGGATGGGGTGTCCCATGGGTCTCCTTTCAGTTCATTAGGGTCCAGTAGCTGTTAATTGGAGGTATTTGTTTTAGAGTAGAGTGAATACTTCCCCATTTTTCTTTAGTACTTTAAAATTAATTTCTCTATGCCCTTGGGGGTTTCTTTGTGGTTTTGTTTTTTTGAGACCAGACTGGCCTCAAACTCAGAGTTCAGTCTGCCTTTGTTTCCAGAGTCCTGGGATTAAAGACATGCACCACCACAGCCTTAGCCTCTTGGCGTTTTGTAAGCTGCATGTAAGCATGGCCTTGTTGTCACATTCGCAGGATCTCTCTCTCTCTCTCTTTTTTTTTTTTACAGTTTCTCACTTTCTTGCTATTAGTGTCACAGGGCCCCGTCCTGAGGAAGACCCCAGACCTTAGCACAACTGACTCCATTAGGGAAGTGCCATTCAGGCTGTAAAACTCAGCACATAGACACCACCACCTGCTAAAAGTTAAAGTAAAGGCCCAGTCTCAAAGTCCTCATAGTTCTTCAAAAGTCTCAAAATGTACTAACCTTGCTTTTAGCTTCTGCAGTACTGCATCTGGCTAACTGTTTTTGTTGAATGGAGTAGGTCAACCCAGACCACTGTTTTTGTGCTTAAGAGCTCACCCTGAGAAAGGCTAGTTGCTACACTGGGATCTCAAACACCTAGTATAGTCACTGGAAGCCAATAAAGACTTTCTTTGGGCTTAAACCCATGTCCAAGCAGCCTCATCTAGAAAATGCCCACAACAGTACGGTTTGACTCTAGTTCTGAAGGTCAGCACAAGATGAGACTTAGGAGAGCATTTTCTTGTGTTTTCTTGCATGGTGAATTTATTGTTATGTGGGCAATTTCAGCGCTGGGGAAAAGAATTTAACAAACTGAATGTATTTCAGGGGTGCAATTTCCAAAGAATAGACACACATGGGGATAACATATGATATACCTTTATAAGGTTTCTTGGAACTATGCATTTTGTGATATACAGCAAAATTAGTGTTTTTTTGTCACATTTTTTTTTTGCGATACAACATTTCATCCTCCTAATTTTTTGTTGCTGTTTACACAGTGTTTATGTAGTCCTGGCTGCCAGCAACTTACTTATGTAGACCAGAATGACCTCTGACTCAAGGAGATCTTCCTGGCTTTGCCTCCTGAGAGATGATATTAAAGGTTCGAGCCACCTCACTCACCATTATGAATCATTACATGTTAACACCATAAATGTTTTTATTATAATTTTTCCAAGGCACTGGAGAAATGGCTTAGTGGTTAAAAGCAATGTCTATTTTTCCAGAGGACCTGGGTTCAATTCCATACATGCATACCAGCTCACAATTTTTGGCCTCTCCAATGCACAGAAATACTCACACACAGTGCAATCACAGAAACAAACACACATACACACACACACACACACACACACCATCACCAACAACAAAACTTTTCCCATTGGGCTTTGGTGGTGCATGCCTTTAATCCCAGCACTCAGGAGGCAGAGGCAGGTGGATGGATCTCTGTGAGTTCAAGGCCAGCCTGGTCTATAGAGCGAGTGCCATATAGGCTCAAAAGCTACACAGAGAAACCCTGTCTCCAAACAAAAACAAAACAAAACAAAAAAACAAAACAAAAAAAAACTTTTCCCAGTTATTTTTGCAGATGTTAATTTCATATAAATTCTGTTAAATTTAACATTTAAGGCATTCACAAGTTTCTTATCTTTGTTTCTATTGTTGTGATTTCTAAGCACAGAACTGCAGATAAAGCTATATCGTTATTATTTGCAATGGTATTTTTTCTCACCACTATGAATTTTCTGATGTCTTTTAAGATTAAATATCCGGATAAAGGACATGTCACATTCTTTGCATTTATATGGTCTTTCTCCAGTATGAACTTTCTGATGTGTTCTAAGATATGAATTAAGGGTAAAGGACTTGTCACATTCCATACATTTGTAAGGTTTCTCTCCAGTATGCATTTTCTGATGTTGTCTAAGAGTTGAACACTCAGTAAAAGATCTGTCACATTCTTTACATCTGTAAGGCCTCTCTCCAGTATGAACTCTCTGATGTGCTCTAAGATGTGAGTCCTGGGTAAAGGATTTGTCACATTCCCTACCTCTGTAAAGTTTCTCTCTAGTATGAATTTTCTGATGGCGTTTAAGTGCTGACAACTGATGAAATGACTTTCCACATTCTCTGCAACTGTAAGGTCTCTCTCCAGTATGAATTCTCTGATGTATTCTAAGATACGAGTCAAGGCTAAAGGATTTGTCACATTCTCCACATTTGTAAAGTTTCTCTCCAGTATGAATTTTCTGATGATTTCTAAGATTTGAGGACATATTAAAGGATTTGTCACATACCTCACATTTGTAAGGCTTCTCTCCAGTATGGATTCTGTAATGCCTTTTAAGATGTGATACTTCAAGGAAGGACTTACCACATTCTTTGCATTTGTACATTTCCTCTAGAGAATGAGTTTTCTGATGTCTTCTAAATGACGAATAGTGGGTAAAGGATCTGTCACACTCGTTGCACTTGTAAGGCTTCTCTCCAGTATGGAGTCTTTGATGTGTTTTAAGACTTGAGTACTGGGTGAAGGATTTGTTACAAACATTGCACTTGTAAGGTTTCTCTCCAGTATGAATTCTTTGATGCTTTGTAAGAGTTGACTTCACGGTAAAGCATTTGTCACATTCCTGACATTTGTAAGGTTTCTCTCCAGTATGAATTCTCTGATGTTCAGTGAGGCTTGAGGTAGTACTGAAGTATTTCCCACATTTTTCACACTGGTGTGGTTTCTCTGCAATGTGGATTGGTTGTTGCACAAGACTGTATGTAGACACAAAATAGTCATCGCATTCTCCCTGCCTGTGATCTTTTTTTGCAGTGTAGACTCTCTGATGTTGAGTAGTGTTGGAACACAAATTTACAGATTTCTCACAGTCTTTAGATATGCACAGTTCTTCTCCAGTGTGCCTGCTTTCACGTCTGTCTGGGTTTGATGAGTCAACAGAGGCATCCCTGTGATTACTGCATGTGTAGTTATTGGAGTTTTCTGTAGTTTCACTTGTTCTATAAAGTGCACATGTGGAGGGGTCATGAAGCACTTTGCCAAGCTCATTACACTGACAAGACTCCTTTTCAGTCTTCACATGGTGACGGACAGGATCACACTTAGAATAGTTCTCTGGAAATGAGGACACTTCAGATTAATAGGGCTTGTTCCAAGATTAAATATTTGATACCTGACTGTTGTTAGTATTCAGGCATCTGTACTGGTCTGTCCTTGGTGTTCTGACAGGATTTGCCTTCAGCTGCAGCCACTAAGAGACCCACCTGTGCATATTCACTATGTTCCCTTTTAAAAGGTTCCTGACCACCTCCCATCCTTCTCTCTCTATCTCCCCTATCTCCTGATCCCTTTCCCTAACAAAAACCATCTCTGCTTGAACTCTGCCTCATGGCTTCTTTCTCTCACAGTGCTGTATTTCTTAAATTACAGCAGTTTCCCTAATTTCTCTCTTAAAATAAGCCACCAGCAACTAATTAGAATAGAGATGACAGCAGTCAACTTTTTTCATCACTGTAACTTATGGATTCTCACAAAAACTGAGTGACAGCTTTCAAGGAAGTTGAAGCAGATAATTGAGGAATTAGCTTTAGGATGGAGTTTTCTGACTGATTATATTTAGAATGTGTCTATTTTAAAATATATTTTTCTCAGAAATTGATGAAGTAGAGTTTAATCCAATCCCCCCCCCCGTTCACAGTGTTTACTTACTAATGCACAGCCATGAAGATTATAGTTCACACTACCCAATTCCTTTTAAGAATAAAGGCTTCTTGAAAAACAAAGGTTTTATTTTTTTTTCCTAAAAAGCGTATTAGTTCTTCAAAGGTAATGGATGCAAAGTCAGTATTCTGCCAGACAATAGAGGCTCTCAGCAGTTCTCAACCTGTGGATCATGACTTTCTGAAAACACGTTATTTCCAATGGTCTTAAGAAGTAAGGCATCACTTAGTAGCAATGTTACAGTCAAGAACTACCAACAAAAACAATTTTATGATTGGGAGTCAATAAAACATGAGGAACTCTACTAAAGGGTTGTAACATTACCAAGGTTTTGAACTATGTTCTAAACCATTGGAAGCAGGGCTACCATGGGAAGCCAGTGCTAATTTCTATTCACCATTGACATCCATGCAAGGCAGGCAATTACAGAATAATCATACTTCATGGACCCACATTATTTAGAATTGTGTAGAATTGTGTAAAATTAGTCCAATCTCTTGTCAGCATAGCCAAATAACATTGTATTTTGTACTGGTATTAAGTCACCACAATTCAGGTGCAATAAGACACATCTTCTAACAGTTACAACAAGAAGGATTCAGCCGGGCGTTGGTGCTGCACGCCTTTAGTCCCAGCACTCGGGAGGCAGAGGTAGGTGGATCTCTGTGAGCTTGAGATCAGCTTGGTCTACAAGAGCTAGTTCCAGGACAGCCTCCAAAGCCACAGAGAAACCCTGTCTCCCCCCCCCCCCCCCCCCCCCCAAAAAAAAGGATTCATCCCTGGGCCAGGACACTATACTAAGTTCAATTATCAGGAAGCTTTTCAAGTGGAATTGAATATTGCAAAAGCATTGTCAGCTCTTTCTAATTCTTTCACTTGAAGCTGTCACTGTTGTCCTGCTCATTCCCTAGCCCACCCTGGTTGTGGCCACTTTCTCCTCTTCCTATGCCAGGGCAATCCACATGCTACACACAGGTGACCATGCCTACCTTGCATGCAATAACCCATGTGTTCTGGCCCATGACCCATGCTAGAACATTTAGAAAGAATATAGACGTCTAACACAGTACTGTGTTCAGTACATTAAGAGAACACACAGTAGAGGAACATAGGAATGATTTCCCAATGATATTTCCTGTCAGAATCTTCAGCATATTTGGGGAGCATTTTCAGTTTGTTTATCTTGATTTTGTCACAACTAAAACAATGTCAAGTGCAATAACAGACATGGAGGTTTAAGATATGAGTGGAAACATTATATGCTACTGGGTTTCTGAATGCATCTTGGAACCAAAATGAAGGGTGCACGACACCTATAAAATGAAGAGGTAGAAAAAAAATAACAAGATAAAAGGTCTTTTCTACTAGCAAGCACTCCCTAGTCTCCTGTTGTTTCCAAGACAGCCTAACAGAGAATTCACAACCTGAAAAGTCAGTATACAGCCAGAGTTAGGAATTCTCCAAGCAAAATGTTCTTACCCACATAGAGCAGGTTGCTGTAATTCTCCAGCATCACATCAATGCACAAAGCCCTCTGAGCAGAGTCCAGGCATCCCCACTCCTCCTGGGAGAAATCCACTGCTACATCCCTGAAGGTCAGCACACCCTGAAACACAAAGTACAGTTTGTGTTTCTACCGGACAGAGTGCTTTCCTGGATATTAGGAGACTTAAAGAAATCAGGGAATTAGACAAGTGAAGACAATTGCTCAAAAAGGTGATTTTTAATATAGTCACATCCTATGACATAACAGTCTCACAAGCAATATACACGAAACAACACACATTTAAGGTCTGGCCACTTTGTTTTGGGGCAGCTTGACCCTATAGGTGTGGTCTTCTCTGTCGGTATGTGACTGGAATAATAATTGAGCGTGAGGGTCACACATTCTCTCTCTTAAGACAGTGTGGGAGCTGGTGGTGCTATGGTTTGGAGCTTCCCCTTCCCCTTTGGTAATGAGGTTACAGTGCAGTGGCCAAGAGCTGGATCCCCAGAGGGACACAGCAGCTGGTGATGTGATCCAGATTCTTCTTTCTGTCTTGTGATCATTGTGCAGACTTTATATTAATAAAAGGTAAAACAATCTCCAAGATTCCTGCAATATCTGGTGCCCACAATGACTGCATCATAATAATGCCATTGAGCCAATAAACACCACTGGCTACAAAGTGCTCAGGACAATTCTAAGATGGCTAGTTGAGATGATCACCCTCTTACATCACTCTAGCCACAACTTCAGATAAGCTTTACCCATTACTCAGAGCCTGGCTAAATGCTGCAGCTAGTCCTCATGAGACATAATGTTTTAATCTTACAGGGTCCCAAAGAAATACTGTCACCCCCCAGATATCAGGAAGTTATTCTAAGAACACAATGACCCCTTTCTTTAATAAGTGGGGTGGATGGGGCTGGATAGATGGCTCAGTGGTTAAGAGCACTGGCTGCTCTTCCAGGACCTGAGTTCAATTCCCAGCACCCACATAGCAGCTCATAGCTGTCTGTAACTCCAATTCCAGCAGATCTGGCATCCTCACACAGACATATATGCAGGCAAAACATCAATGCACATAAAATAAAAATAAATAAAAGAAAGACCTTGCCTCAAATTAAAAAAAAAAAGTGGGGTTTTTCTCAGGGTTATAAATAATTGTCACCTGTAGGGGGTTGGTAATGAGGTGTTATAGGGCTGGGGGCAGAACAAGAGATTAGACTCAGTGATCCAATTTAGAATTAAAACGGGGATAAACATGATAGGATAATAAGATAATAAGGTAGATCGTAAAATCTAACAAAGCAACCATCAGTTTTAAATAATTTACATTGGTATGGATTCTTGTGTATTAATATAAGTTCAAAATTATTTTTGTTATGCTGTATATATGTTTCTATTCCTGTTTAAGATATTTTTGTATACTGGTACAAATTTAAAATTATCTTTCCTACTTCTGCTTAAAATACTTTTGTAGGGGCTGGAGAGATGGCTCAGAGGTTAAGAGCACTGACTGCTCTTCCAGAGGTCTTGAGTTCAATTCCTAGCAACCACATGAAGGCTCACAACCATCCACAATAAGATATGGTGCCCTCTTCTGTATACAGAATACTGTATACATAATAAACAAATAAGTAAATAAATACTTTAAAAAATACTTTTGTATATTTACATAAATGTTTTTCATTTACATGTTAAGATTACTTCTGTTATATTGTATGTATATTTTTGCTTCTGTTTAGGATATTTTTGTAAATTAAGGTTATTTTTGTCATATTGCATTATATTTCTACCGGTTAAGGTATTTTTGTATATTGTCACAATTTCGAGGTTATTGTCCTTATATTGTATATCTGTTTCTATTTTTGCATAAGGTATTACTTCTACAGCTTGTTTATTTTTGTATTGTGAAGCTCTAGTCCTTAATCTATATAGGTTAATAAGAATTATGGATTAATAGCCACCATGTTTGTCAAACTTACAGTCATGTTCGTTAGGTCTTCTAGGTGCAGAGAGATACTTCAAATAGATAGGTAATCTGTAAACACTTCAAAGACTTACAGAATATGGCATTTAATGTTTTAATAACTTAGAATACTTTTGACGTGAGACAAGTGCTCCTGGGAGCAACGACCTAAGGCCGAGAGCATGGGCACCAAAGACACTCCATATGAACTGGGTTTTTTTGGTTGTTTTGTTTTGTTTTGTTTTGTTGACAAACTGGCCTATTAGGCAAAAAACTGCCCTTGCCTCAACTGCTGACAGTAAGTATGCTGTCTAATTTGTACAAGCAGGACACAAGGAAAAGTGATTGCCAAACTTTGCTGAGACAGGATATGACAGTCCTTCAAATTTTTCTGCTTCTGAAAATGGTCTGCCAGATATTCTAGGCCTATAAACCAAAGTTGGATGCCCCAGTGTTACAGAGGAACCTTGGGTGAGACTCTCCTGGCAGCCAGCTGTTTCTGTGATTTCTCTTAATTTTTTGGAAGTCACTTGCTTTCACTTCCTGCTTGCTCAGGTAATATTTTCCTTCTCAGGTCTTTGATAAGGTTGAAGACTAGATAATTACAGTTACAATCCTCATGAATCTGGGGTAAGGACATATTAGATACAAACTTGGATTCTCTTTTTTTTTTTTAAAGATTCTATTTATTTATTATGTATACAACATTCTGCTTCCATGTATATCTGCACACTAGAAGAGGGCACCAGATCTCATAACAGATGGTTGTGAGCCACCATGTGGTTGCTGGGAATTGAACTCAAGACCTCTGGAAGAGCAGTCAGTGCTCTTAACCTCTGAGCCATCTGTCCAGCCCCAAACTTGGATTCTTTAAGAAAGGACAACTACTGAAGTAATCTCTCTAAAACTTGTCTTTTACCTATAGTCTGGACATCTAAGATGCATTTCTTACTGGATAATTTATTATATATAGTTTTATTGTATATTGTTTTTATTATATTAGGATTAGAATCTTTTTATTTTAGACTAAAAGGGGGAAATATAGGAATTTTATCCAATGGCCAATAGTATTGGGGTAGCTTGACCCTATGGGCATGGTCTTCTTTGTGGTTATGTGACTGGATAAGGACCAAAGGCGAGGGTCCTGTGCTCTCTCTTGGATGGTGAGGGAGTTAGCAGAGCTATAGCTTGGAGCTTCCCCTTTGCCCTTTTGTAATGAGGTTACCTTACAGTGGCAGAGAGCTGGTTCCCCAGTGGGTTCAGCAGAGCAGATAACTCATTCTATCTTGTCATCATTGTGCACAGACTTGATATTAATAAAAGGTAAAACAATCTGCCGGGCGGTGGTAGTGCACACCTTCCATCCCAGCACTCGGGAGGCAGAGGCAAGCGGATCTCTGTGAGTTCCAGATCAGCCTGGTCTACAAGAGCTAGTTCCAGAACAGCCTCCAAAGCCACAGAGAAACCCTGTCTTGTAAACCCCCCCCCCCAAAAAAAAAGGTAGAACAATGTCCAGGATTTCCTCAATAGGACATATCAATCTCTTATGGATTCTGTGTTATGTTGCACAGGATCACAGTGGGCATGTCTCAGAAGGAAAATTTGTAAGAAGGAAACACGCTTTTAGATGTTGTGCCTAAAGTACATGCTAAAATATTGATGCTGAATCAACCTATCTGTTCTTGGGCCTTACATGACTCCACTGTAAGATTTTCAGTTCCTATGTTTCAACTCTAGGTCCAATGTCACACCATTAAAGAGCAAAGGGCTAGATAGGGAAGGCAAAATTTATGATTAACTAGATAGTTTGTTTTTTTTTTCTTTCACAGTAAAATAGAACAATACTGTATCCTGTATACTTTAATTAGTATATGGAATTAATTTTATGAGAATACTGGGCCACTACCAAGCATATAGAAAAATGAGCATCAGCCACATTTGATATAATCCAAAACTTTCTAAAAATATTCAGAAGCTGACTTAGACAAATAATTTCAGAAGTTTTGATGATCTTACTTGCAATGTTATAAAAAAAATGATGGAAGTCCAAAAACACATTAAATAATAGCTCAGCATGCACACAGAAGTGTAGTATACTGTGGATGCATTCAGAAGTGACAGAGACTTCCTGTCAGCAAATGAATATCAGTCCTCTGCAAATACAATATAGCTTAAACAATGGCTCAAGAGAAAATCTGCACTACTGTATCTGAATTGCGTAGTTCTTGATGTGTTCTTTTTAGCACTTATGCTGTATTGTCTAACAGCATTTTAGAGGTGTTTATGATTGTCTTAGTTAGCATTCCTATTGCTGTGATGAAACACCATGACCAAAATGCAAGTTCAGGAGGAAAGGGTTTATTTGGCTTACACTTCCGCATTGCTATTCATCACTGAAACAAGTCAGAGCAGGATCCTGGAGGCAGGAGGTGATGCAGAGGTCATGGCGGGGAGCTGCTTACTGGCGAGCTTCCCCTGACCAGCTCAGCCCACCTTCTTATAGAACCCAGGATTACAAGCCCAGGGATGGCACCACCCACCATGTGCTGAGCCCTCCTCCACTGATCACTAAATGAGAAAATCCTCTACAACTGGATCTCAAGATGGCATTACCTCAGTTGAGGCTCCTTCCTCTCCTACGAACTCTAGCTTTTGTCAAGTTGACACAAAACTAGACATTACAACTGACCCCTTGTCAACTAAACATAAAACACATCACTAATAAGCCACAGCCCTTCATTTCTTATTAATCCCCCCCCCATCTTAAATAACTTTAAAGTCCCACAGTCTTTACAAATTCAAACACATTAAAATTTCAGTTTCTTTAAAACAGGCAATCTCTTTAAAAATACGACATCTTTTAAAATTCAAGTCTCTCAACTGTGGACTCCAATAAAGCACTTTTTTATCTCAAGAGGGAAAAACTGGGGAACAGTCAATCAAAGCAAAACAAAACTCCAACCATCCAGTATCTGGGATCCAGTCATGAGCTTCCTGAGTCCTCCAAATGACTTGTTCACCTCTCTAGCTCTGCCCTCTGAAACACACATGGTGTCTCTTCTAGGTGCCCACCGGTTCCAGTCCACTGCTGTCACTCAGTGGTTGTCCCTTGATACTGGCATCTCCAAAATACTGTGGTCCCTTGCTGCAACAGGGTTGCACTTTCACCAATAGCCTCTCATAGGTGGTACCAAGCCTCAACTTCTTTTCATGACTCCTTCAGTCCTGGGCCTTTAACTGCCACTGAGGATGCAACTTCATCAATGGCCTTGCCTGGATACTTAGTGTCAAGCCTCAGCTGCTCTCCATGACCCCTTCATGCCTTCAAAACCAGTATCACCTGTATGATACTTAGTTACAAAGCATGAGGCACAACCTTGGTTGCCTCTGGAACACAGTTTCTGTGTGCTCTTAAGAACTACTTCCCAGGGGATTTCACCTCAGTGATGCTGGTCTCTTCTCAACCACCACTAATTTCTTAGCTGTAGCCAATCAGCACCAAGTATTCCAACAAAAGCAAAATTTTGCTTTAGTAGTTCTAGCACCTTGCTAAACACAGCTGATTCTTCAGCCCCAGCTAACCAGAACCACAAGATCTTAATTCAAAATAACAAAAGACCCTGATAGATTCTTTAAATTTCTCTCTGAAATTCCACAAGGCAGGCTCCATGTTCTGAATTGCTCCAAGTATTCTTATCTTCCAAACTCCTAATGAATATCCCACAGAGCTCTTAACACTTAATGGTTTTCTAGCCCAAAGTTCCAAAGTTCTTCTACAATCCTTCCTAAAACATGGTCAGGTCTGTCAAAGCAATATCTCTCTATGCTGGTACCAATTTGTCTTAGTTAGGGTTTCTGTTGCTTCAAAGAAAAACCATGACCAAAAACAAGCTCAGGAGGAAAGGGTTTATTTGGCTTACACTTCAGCATTGCTACACATCACTGAAGTAAGTCAAGACAGAGCAGGATCCCAGAGACAGGAACTGTTACAGATGCCATGGAGGGGTACTGTTTACTGGCTTGCTTCCCCTGGCCTGCTCAGCTCACCTTATAGAACCCAGGATTACAAGCCCAGGGATGGCACCATCAACCATGGGCTGGGCCCTCCCCCATTGATCATTAAATGAGAAAATGCCTTACAGCTGCATCTCAAGAAGGCATCAGCTGAGGCTCCTTCCTCTCTGATGACTCCAGCTTGTGTCAAGTTGACACACAAAGCCAGCCAGTACAGTGACTCTTTTGGATTTCTCTGAAAATCCAAAGATGCCGTGACATATTCTGTCTGGGCCATGAGTCAGGGACAGAAATGCAAACCTGTGAGTCAGAGCCCATTCCCCAAGTTTCCACTTGAAAACACTGCAGCTTCAGGGTGGTGGAGGAGAGCCATGACTCTCACAGGAACAACTAGAGCAAGGCAATCATGAGGAATGTTCTTTCTGCATCAAATGTGATACGATTCTGCACATCAATCAGCCAAGACCCTAAGACATGACTCCTGATGCATGCCACATAATGAGTCCCAGCCAGAAAGAAAGGACTGCACAATGGGATCCTTGCAGGGAAAACAAAAGATGAATAAATAAATAAATAAATAAATAAATAAATAAATAGAAATACTGATCTCTCCCATATCACTGATCATCCTAACCAGGAGAGTGATGTGAACAGCAATTCTCCTTAGATAAACAAAAGGACATATCATCACTGTTTTGATATTAAACATGAAAGAGAAACACAAGTAGACTAGAATATACGCACAAGAACAATAATTTCATACATATGCCTGTGACATTCAGCACTCTCCATTTTAGTCTTAGGAACCACGTATTACTTAGTAATGAGACACAAGATATCTCTTTTCCACATATTTCTAAGATATTACTCCAACTAGTCCATGTGTTTCAATATGCATAACCATGATTTAAGGAAATGGGACAGATTCTACAAATAGAGCCTTTATGGCACATGAGCCCTGACTCAGCAATATGTAAGTCCACCCTCCATAGAAACTGGGCATCCACAAGTGGAAATATTTCCAAAATTACATGTCAGTAATATATGTGGGATACCAACCTCCCCCACACACAAAAAAAAAATCTGGGGAGAGCAGAATAGAGATAAGTGCTATAGGAGATGTGGAATTATAGAATTATATCATAGCTGTAGTCACAAAGACAGTCTGGTATGAGAATAAGCATTGACAGGAGGATAACAGGATAAGACACAGAATCCATAAAGAAAACTATTAATCCATCCCCACTTAATGTTTGGCAAAGGAGGGGAAAAATACATTAGAAAAATATGGTCTCTTCAACAAATGGTACTGGCAAAACTGGATCTAGCAGGAGAATTAGGTGCAAAAATCCAAACAAGATGGATCAAAAACCTTATTTAAAACCATACACACAGAAACCTAGAAAACAGGGAACACCCATGAAGACATTGGGACGGGCAATGGCTTCTGGATTAGAAAGAACACTAACAACAGCATAGGAACTAACGCCATGTACCAACAGGTGGAACTATATGAAAACAAGGAGTTTCTGCTTATCAATGAAAACAATCAGCAGAGCACACAGACACATAACAGAGTGGGAATCTGTACCGGTGATGCTTTAGACAGGGGCTCATACCTAGAATTTACCAAGAATTACAGCAATTAAATAACATGCAAACAAAACTGCCCATCAACAAATGGGGAAATGAACTGAATAGACACTTTTCAAAGACAGAAACACAAACAACCCCAGGATCCCTAAACCGCCAGGAGAGAAATGCGAACAAAAACTACTTTGAAATGCTGCTTCACTCCAGGCACAATGGCTGACAACAATTAATCTCACAACAAGTGTTGGAGAGGATGAGGAAGAATGCAATGAACTGAAAACCAAGCCCAAACCCAATGAGAGAAAGAAGAGCAGTTGGTAAAGTCTCAAGGGTTTATTATCGACAGTCTGTGGCACTTCTACTCTGGAGAGAAATGTATTCCATCTACAGAGAGCATCCGTCTTTTACATACATTTTGTTTCTGGGCAAGCAAGAGCAAGGAGGCAGATTACAAAGGCCAAGGAAAAGCAGTTAGTTTGAACTATACCATAAAACTGTTGGAAGATTTGAAATAACAGCATGACTCCAGCTATGACCCAGTTTGAGCAACTTCATAAGTGAATCCCTTCCTGTGTGAGCCAGTCTGCAGGACTTTAGATGCTATCTCTTTCCTGGGATAATACCTTCTTTACAACACACTGAAACTAGGTAAAGAATAATTCAACCCTTGGGTTGATTTCCTTTCTTTTAGAGAAGACCTATTTCTCCTAGGTCCTATCAAAAGGAAGTCTTATTCATTGTTGGTGTGGATGGGAAGGTAGTGCAAATTAGCACACTCAAATGAAATCAGTTTGAAGAGTACTAACAAATTAAAGATAGAACTAACCATAGTCCCAGGTCTCTCACTCCTGGGCATATACTCATATTCGACACCCCACTATAGAGATATTTACACCCTATGGTAAATGCTGCTGTATGCATAACAATAAAGAATTATAATCAACCTGTCTATCCAAAGATGAACTGACAATGAAAATGGTATACATACAAAATGGAATACTGCTCAGCTGAAGAGAGAATGTGGATTAAAATTTGCAGGAGAATGGATGGATTCATAATGTGTAGTATTAAGTGAGGTTACACAGTATCAGAAATAAGAAACCATGTTTTCCCCATATGCAGAATCTAGTCAGTAACAACATACATGTGGGCAAAGTAGAACATAGAGAAAAGAGAACAAGAAATGTTAAATATCAGTATTGATATAAGATTGAATGCATGTAATCAAAATCAGTTATGAGAAGATATAAAGCTAAGTGCTTTTCTAATTCTAATTATGTCACATGGTTTTTGGTTTTTGATGGTAGATAAATAGATCAAACTATATTGGATATTGAAACTATAAAGTCCCGTGTGAGGCTCCAGAGATTCTGTTCCCAGTGACTACTCTTAACTGTATAAAAATGCATTCGGTTGTACATCTTTGGCTCTGGTAAATTTCAGTTTATAATTGTTTGTTTGCATAATTGTTTGTTTTTCATAATAAAGTTTAAAAAATCAGAGGCAGAAAATTAGAGGCTTCTGATGTCTCAACTATAACATTTCTACCAAAGGAGGGGGGGCACATGATCACTGACCTGGAACAGATTAATTGGAGAATCAGCCATTTCTTTCCGTTTCTCTTCTTTGAGTTTCTCTTTCAGGAACAAGGCTTGCTTCTCTTTCAAATTAAGGAATCAAAAAGCAAAAGCAAAAATTAGTAATGAAAGCTGTTAAAGAAAACAATGTTAAATAAATGATATGAAAAGACCCAAGCAAGAGAATGTCCAGACAATGATCCCTAATCCAGGACAGCATGGAAAGACATTTAAAGCTTGAAGAGAAAACCACCATCAACAATATTGTTGCACACAAAAAAATTATATCTCAAAACTGATGTGGACATAAGTGTATTTTAAGACAGTCACAAATTAACACAGTGCATTTCACTAAAGCAGCATGGCAGATGATACATTAGAGGAAAAATATACACAGGAGAATTAGATGAATTTTCCACGACAATGTTGTAAATTGTAATTGTAATTGTAAACAAGTTTCGTGTGAAGAATAGATATACAGGAGAACTGGGAAGTAATCATCCATGGTCAATACAGCAATCCACTAATGGTCACAGAGAAGGAAGAATACAATGAATATTCCAACCAGCAAAACAACACACACACATACACACACACACAAACAAAACAACAAAAAAAACCTATATGAAATAAAAACCCTAAAAACCAACAAAAATCTAGCCACTCTGAAAATCAATATGGAAAATCCTGAAAAAGTTAAAGAAATCTAGGACATGACCCAGCTGTACCACTTCTTGTCATATTCTCAAAGGACTCAACATCCTGCTCCACAAATAATTGCTCAGCCATATTCATTGCTGCTTTACTCACAACAGCTCCAAAAGGGAAACAACCTAACTGTTATTACACTGAAAACTGGATAATGGAAATGCAGTACACATGACCTATGGAATATTGTTCAGGGATAGAGAAAACTGAAATCTCGAGCTTTTGAAAGGAAAAGGAAGGCCCTGAAAGGATTATATTGAATGGAGTAATCCAAACTAAGAAAGGAAGACATTGCATGATCTCTCTCACAGGAAGTTCTTAGGTCTAAATCTTCAGATGTAAGTATACAACCTAGAGTGACTGCCATTACAAGAAAAATAAAAACAGTCCACTGTAGGGTTTGGGGGAGTATTAAAGAGGGGGATCACACGGAACAATGATCTAAAGGGGGAAATGGAAAAACAGGGAGGGACTTTATATTCTGATAATGCTCCCACAAGACATTTTCTAACAAAACCACCCACACAAGGCAGGTCACAGCTGTGGAAGATTCTCCCTAAACATAATAAGCTATTGCTGTTGTCTGTGGTTGCCTCCCAGAGGTAGAAGGTGAAGTGCCCCTACTACTGAAGAAGCCAGGCACTTTAGACACAGAATCCAGAGGATGAGAGATGGAACTGAACTTAAAGACTCTTCCCAGAAGGCAACATGCAAGCTTTTAAAGAAGGGAACCAGCCAACAGTCCCATGACACCTGTGAACCACAGCAATGATCTACACTGCACGATTACCCTAAGGGTGCAAGAGTGGCACTCAAACCTTGGTGGTGACCAACAGCTTCTAATTGGGAGAAGACCCTCTCAGCGAGAGGGAGAACATGCCTGGTACTGGAAACCTAGCCAGTTTCCCCAGGACTAGCAAAGGCATGGACCCTGGAGGAGAGCCTACAACCACAACTTTACTAAATAGGCATAATCCATAACAGCATTCTAAGTATTTTCCTTATTCCCACAGATAAATGTAGTCCTCAGCCTTCATCAATAAAAGTTCTTTTTGAACACATGGAGATTATTACAGAAAACCACAATCATCCAAACTGCAGACTTGTGATGCTCAGTCCCCACTGACACACAACACAACTCCTTCACCTCAGGTTCAGGGATCACTGAGAAAGGAGGGCGGAGGGAATAGTGTAAGAGCCTGAGGGGCAGGATGCTTGCTTTTCACATTGTGTCTCCTAGAAATGTCAGGGAAGCTACATGTATGAAATCTTACAAACACGGCTGACTAAACATGAGCTGGACAATGTAGGCATCAAGAGACATGCTAACATGGAAGGAAGAAAGCTCACTAGGCCTCAACCCTAGTGAAAACACTGAGGAATTCTGAGAGTTGGAGAAACAGTCTTCCCCAAAGAGTGCGCCATATGGTTATCCAATGCCAAATGTTCATCCCTGAAAACATAAAAATTGAGTAGGTTGTATTTTTATATTTAGGAATACACACAAACAATGAGTCATTAAGAAATAATAAGCATCTATGTAAAGGCAAGATTTTTGGAATATCTAGATTTAAAAAAAATTATAGTATCTTCTATTATTGCTACTAACATAATTAAACTTAATAGGGGGCTAGAGAGATGGCTTAATGGTTAGGAGAGAGTATTATTCTTCCAGAGACGTAGTTCCATTCCCAACCCCACACAGTGGCTCCCATCTGTCCATAACTACAGTTCCAGGATGTATATGATATATAGTCATACATGCAAGCAAAACACTTGTATAAATAAAATACATGAGTCTAAATAAAAAACGAACAGTAAATAATTAGTAAAGAAAAGAAAATATAATTCCTTGAATCAACTTATAAAACAAATGAAAGGTCCTGATTTGAAAGCTTTGATTTGCTGAAGGAACTGAAGAAGATGCTAGCTAGAACATGGGAAGCTGATTTACACAGATGGAAAGGGACATAATATTGACATTTTCCCTATTTCTGGAAGTGGTTTATATGATCAGTTCAAACTTCATGACATTTAAACTTCCCATAATATATACTTCAGAGAACTAGTAAAGAGAAACGTAGAATTTGTATTGATGGAGAAATTCTCTGGGAACAGAGCAGCCCCTGGGATGTTACAATGCTGGAGCTATCCCAGTGAGATTGCAGTTGTCACTGGAGAGCCACACGACCAACAGCGTCATGGGAGTGGAGAGGACAGACAGTCCAATATAACAGAGCAGAAGTTCCAGAACCTGTCCAATAGCAATGACCTTGTCAATGTCACCAAAGTACCACAAACTTACACGTAACTGACTAGACAGCCTCGTCAAACAGTGGTATTGGGAAAAGTACCTATCCACATATAAAAACATTAACCTGGGTTCAAATCTCTCTCACCACGCAAGGAATCACAGACTTCCAAGTATGATCTGAAACAGTGACTCCTGCAGAGCAACACAAAGGGACAACACTATATACAACGGCAGGACCGTGACAAATAGTACTGTGTAAAATTAAATACATCCAGGGAAAATGTAATAATTAAAAGCATGAAGAGACAGCCTATACCAAAGATACATTTATTAGCTATCTATTTGTACTACAATAGATACAAACCCAGAATCAAAAAAATTTCAAAGGAAGCAAACGATAATGCCATTGGTAAATAAACACCATGCTCAACAAACGGCCAATTTATTGTACGTACTACCAAGTTCTATACTGTAGGTCAGAAGATAATGTAAATATATAGAGATTCCAATTCTAAACTCAGTGTCTACAGTCTCGAGTTGCTACACAAATGTATTCCTAGCAAATGCATTTCTTTCACTAATTTCTAGAAAAGTAAATTTATAAAATTACTCACGCAAATGACACAAAAAGACTACAGCATTCAAAAAAGGATGGCTGAAATTAAAACATATACTTTCTATCAAAAATTTATTTCATATCTAAAAGATCCAAGATACTGAGGAAGAAGGAAATTTTTTTAATGCCCTTAATATGGGCAGCAGTAATGAAGACTGATGTTCATAAGTAAAATAGTGACAGAAAAATCAAGACAAAAGCTGAAGACATTGAGTAGATACTCTTCACCAGGTTAAGTGCCTGGTAAAGGACATGAAGATGAAGTCCCTGGAGGAGATCTACCTACCTGTTCTCCCTGCCATTAAGGAATCCCAAATTATTGACTTTTTACTGGGCACATCCCTAAAGGATGATGTTTAAAGATCATGCCAGAGCAGAAGCAGATATGGGCTGGGCAGCTGACCAGATTCAAGGCTTTTGTCACTATTGGTGACTACAATGGTCATGTTGGTCCTGGTGTTAAGTGCTCCATGGAGGTAGCCATTGGCATCCTAGGGCACATCATCTTGGCCAAGCTTTCTACTGTCCCTGTACGAAGAGGCTACTGGGGGAACAAGACTGGCAAGCCCCACACTGTTCTGTAAAAAAGTGACAGGCCGCTGTGGCTCTGTGTTGGTGCCTCTCATCCCTGCCCCCAGAGGCACCAGCATTGTCTCTGCTGCTGAACTGGAGTGGCTTCTGATAGTGGTCGGTACTGATGACTGCAACACATCAGCCAGGGGTTGCATTGCCACCCTGGGTAACTTTGCCAACGCCACCTTAAACTAACAGCATCTCCAAGACCTACATCAACCTTACCCCTGACCTTTGGAAGGAGGCTGTGTTAACCAAAAGAGACTATGTTCACAAGTCTCCTTATCAGGAATTCACTCACCATCTTGTGAAAAAATCCACACCAGAGTCTCAGAGGTTCAGATAAACCAGGCTACAAATTGTAGCCACCACGTAAGAGTTTTTATACATGAAAAATAAAGTGAATTAAGTCTGCTTAAAAAAAATACAAAATGGGGCTGGAGAGATGGCTCAGAGGTTAACAGCACCAGCTGTTCTTCCAGAGGTCCTGAATTCAATTCCCAGCAACCACATGGTGGCTCACAACCATCTGTTATGAGACCTGGTGCCCTCTTATGGTGTGCAGATATACATGGAAGCAGAATGTTGTATACATAATAAATAAAATCTTTTTTTAAGAAAAGATTTACTTAAAAAAATACAAAATGAAAAATGATCCATTAGAAAAGTTCTCTGGTCAACATGGGTACATGTCACAAAAACTGGAATGCAAGCTGGGTGGTGGTGGTGCATGCCTTTAATCCCAGAATTTTGGGCGGCAGAGGCTGGCAGATCTCTGAGTTTGAGATCAGCTTGGTCTACAAGAGCTAGTTCCAAATTGACTCCAAAGCTATACAAATAAACCCTGTCTAGAAAAACAAAACAATCAAACAAAAAAAGGCTGGAATGTAGACATCCACAGCAGACAGAAAACAAAATACATAAACATGTGAAACATAGCACATTACTTCCTGCTCTTGTCAATCACAAGAAGTCAACCTAGAAGGAGGTCCATCTTCTCTAACACCAAGCAATTCCCTTTACAACCCTATTTGTCTATTTTACTGAAAGTACCAAGGAAGAGAAAAGAGCCAGAAAATACTAAGAGGATCAAACTTGGAGGTGATCTTACAATGTGTTACAACTACAGCAAAGGAAGCCACTTGGAATTGTCATGACCACAGACAATAGGAGATATCCATGAGAAGACAGTGTAGACAGGGTTAACAGTCTGTAAATGCACTTCCTGATTCTTATCAAAACTCCATTGGCAGCCAGCGTTGGTGGCGCACACCTTTAATCCCAGCACTCAGGAGGCAGAGGCAGGCAGATCTCTGTGAGTTCGAGGCCAGCCTGGTCTACAAGAGCTAGTTCCAGGACAGCCTCCAAAGCCACAGAGAAACCCTGTCTCAAAAAACAAACTAAAAAACTCCATTGGCATCATTTTCAGGGCTGGAGACATAAACATGAAAAGGTAGAGAACATGCTAGGATACCAAAGCTTCAAAATTCTGAAAACAATTTAAGTAATCCTAGAGGGTCATAATTTAGATATTTTATAATCACAGACAGCAAAACCAGTAAGTATGACATGATCAGTGATGTGAATCAATAAGAGCAGCATCACTCACATGCACAGTCAAATAAAATTTTATCTGTGTCAATTCTTCCTTAGAGCCTCTTCTCCTACCTCCAATAGAATAACCCTAAGGAGCTCAATCTCAGTTAGAGTCTCCAGAATCATTTCTATTGAAACTGAGTATTGTAGATGGAGGTTTCTGTCCCGCCCAGTCCCAAGGCCGTTTATTCCCAAATGAACACACAGAGGCTAATATTAATTATAAACTGTTTGGCTGATGGCTCAGGCTTTTTATCGGCTAGCTCTCTCTTAATTATTGACCCATTTCTATTAATCTGCGATCTTCAAATAGTCTTGGCTTACTGGTGATGCCCAAGCTTCTTGCTTTCTCAGTAGCTACATGGCGCCTCACTCTGGCGACTGCTTCCTTGCCTTTCCCCTTCGAAGTACTCCCCTAGTCAGGTAGCACCGCCTATACTTCCTGCCTGGCTTCTGGCCAATCAGCATTTATCATCAACCAGTAAGAAGGACCCTCCCCGACTTGGAATAGAGCAAAACTCATTTCCACCTTCACTTGATTCCCTTTCCACATAGTCATCAATCCCTCCACCATACCTGGATCCTTTACTACTGTCTCATCTGTCTCCATCTTCCAGCCCCTCTGTTCTGCTGCACAGGTGAGCAGATCTGGGTGATCAGTGAGCCCTGCACATGAGAAACAGGCTCTTTAGAAAGCCCCTGGATTCTCTCACATAGTACTGTGTCCAGAAGATAAAGAGAAAACAAAACACAGGATTATACCAGTGATTCCCCAATTGTCCTGCAGTGTCAGAATACTGAAAACAATTAGAAAACATGTTCAGTTAGTGTTACTTGAATCCCAATTCCAACCACACCTCACTCAAAACTCAGGGATAGAAATGGAACTAAATGATTGGAATGAGGATATTATACACTAATAAGGTTCTGAATTAATCATGGCCCAAAACTGATGGAGGCCTTATACCTCCCAAAGGGACACAGGGGAAGAAGAGTGACTATTTCATGAAGACTTGCTTTGTTCCTCTGGGGATTTCACTTTACAGAAAGCTTACACACTCGAAGACTAGTTTGTCAAGAAACCCTGAGGAACCAGGTGCTGGTGGCACACGCCTTTAATCCCAGCACTTGGGAGGCAGAGCCAGGATAGGCTCCAAAGCTATACAGAGAAACTCTGCCTCGAAAAACAAAAACAAACAAACAAGGAAGGAAGGAAGGAAGGAAGGAAGGAAGGAAGGAAGGAAGGAAGAAAAATGACTGAGGAGGAGCAAGGAAGACTGCAAATTATTCTCACCCACAGAAACCATTCTGCTGCAATTCTGTAACATCCAGTCTCTGTACAAGGCCCTCAGGGGAGGGTCCAGGCATTGCCACTCCTCCTGGGAGAGGTTCACAGTCACACCACTGGCTGTCAACATTCCACAAAAATAAAACACGTCCGTTTGAATCATCTTGTTGGTGCACACCTTGAATCCTAGAAGTTGGGAGACAGTGGTGGGTGGAACTCTGACTCTGTTAGTTCCAGTCCAGCCTGGTCTACAAGGTGAGTTCTTGGCCAGACACAGCAATGCAAGAACAGAAAAAAACAAAAACAATAAACCAAAAACCAGTTTGATCATATGTCTATGGAAAAAGTACTTCTCTTGATCCAAGGAGACAAAACACAAATGCAGACATTTTTCTGATGTACATGACTGACTATAATTACTCAAATGTCTTTTAATACTGTCCCATACTATAATGCTTGTTTATTTCTTCTTTTTTGGTTGTTTTCAAGACAGGGTTTATGTATTCCTGAAACATGCTCTGTACACCAGGCTGGCATTGCAATCAAGAGACCCACCTGCCCCTTCCTCCCTATTGTTGGGATTAAGGGTATGTGCCACCACCACTTGGCTTATGATGTTTTTTCTAACTGAAAATACTGTGACCTGACAGCCTTAAACATGGTACTGCGCTTTCCAGACTCTAGGTGCAACATTTAGAACTCAGAACAAGACACATTTCAGGGTTTTTTTTGTTTGACACAGGGTTTCTCTGTGGCTTTGGAGCCAGTCCTGGTACTCGATCTGTAGACCAGGCTGTCCTCGGAACTCACAGAGATCAGCCTGCCTCTGCCTCCGGAGGGCTGGGATTAAGGGTGGGTACGACCAACGCCCGGCTTGTTTTTGTTGTTTTTGGTGTCACCCTGTAGCTATGTAAGTCCTGGAACTCACTACGTACAACTAGGCTGGCCTCAAACTTACTGAGATCCACCTGCCTCTGTTTCCAGAGTGATGGATACCTCGCGGCCTGTGCCATGGGGCTGGCAAGGACACTCTGTGATGTAGATACAGCATTCTTAACAGTGCATATGCCTCAGACGAAAAATCAATGAGAGGTAAAAGTTTACTTTTAAATGTTCACGTCTACAACTATGGACCTCGAAAGTATATACAAATTTGTGCACGCACACCGGAACCTGCAAGCATTCCTTCCATAACAAATATCTAAAAGCTCTCTGGGGATTGCCAATTCCTCAGGTCCATGTGCCACTCCGTGGACTGGGTAAGTGGCTTAGCAGGGCACCGAATGTGAATTCCAAGAGCTCTTTCCTATCCAACACCGCACAGAGAAACGCGCGTGCAAATACAAATGAATAAATTCAAATATTCTCCTATTCCTGACGTGAATGTTTTGGCAGTGGGAAAAAAATCAAAATTAGTCCAGCTCATGTGATCTAAAATACACCAGGGAAAGACACGCACAGCAGAATCTCGGGGCCGGCTTCCTGATGAGCAGCAGAGAAACCGCTCGCACCCCCGCTCCTCCCTCCC